GGTCGTTTTCGCTCGTTCTTTTTTTTGCCCACCCCCCCCCCCCCCCCCAGTGTTGAGGCCCTTCATCTCCCCAGGCCCGATACCTCAGCACTGCCCTGGGAATGCATCTCTCTCACCAACCTTCCCCATTGGATCACATGTGGGTTTAGGGCAGTGGATTTGTCCTTCTGCCCCCAGTCCCCTTGAGCACAGAGAGGCATCTTGGTGCATCTCTTGCAAACCCTGCCAGCTTCTGTCACTCATCCAGAGGCACTGAGCAAGCCCAACAGCGCGTGTGTATCTTGACGTGAAGCAAAGGGGAGAAGCAGCAGGACCACAGGCACCTGCACTGGAGCAAAGTGCTCCCAGCTTGTGGTGATGAGGCAGGCTGGGCATCAGCCAGCGCACTGCAGAATGAGGGAAGGAGCCTGATGATAGAGCAGGTAGCAAGAGGCAGAAGACTAACAAGGAAGGTAGGCACCTTCACCCTGAGCAGTTGAGGAAAGAGCGGAGTACATGAGCCCTGGCGCCAACAGAGAGGAGATGGGGGCGAGGTGAGAGTGCAGCTGGTGAGCAGCTCACATGCTCATTGCAGCAAGTGACCATGGCACGGTTCTGGCCCCTGCAGGGTTTTTCTTCACTGGGGATGGTGTATATCGTACCAGTGAGGGCTACTACCAGCTCACAGGACGGCTGGATGACATCATTAACATCAGTGGACACCGGCTGGGCACTGCAGAGGTGGAGGATGTTGTGGTAAGAGGTGTGGGTGGGAGGTAAATCCATCCAAGGGGACAGCAAAGGCACGCTGGTGGTGCTCTGGGAAGCCTCTTGGAAGTACGTGGACAGAAACATGCTGCTGCTGTAGCAGCAGGGAACAATGTTGGACCCACAGCCTGCCTGTGGGAACAGCTTCCCACCCTCTCCCCTCCCATTCTGGCTCTCTGCAGCAAAGGAGGGACAAACCCTGATAAGGTTGATGCTGTAAATGGGTGAATCCTAAAGCAGCAGGCAGCTGGGCATGTTAAGGAGGAGCATCCACGGGCCAGTAAAGATTGTGGGATCTGGTGGAACAACCTGGAGGAGCAACCAGGAGGCATAGAACAGGGTCTAGCAGCTGCAAGCCTAAAGCAGACAGGGGTGGGGGGGAAGTCTTGTGTTTGCAGACAGACCTGCTGATGCAAGAAGAAAAAAGGGCAGAGGCCGTCTGAGGCCCTCCCTTATCTCTCTGCATTACCGTGGGCTGCAGCAGCCAAGCCAGGCCAGGATGGCTCCCAGGTGTCAGCCAGCCTGCTGAAAGCACTGAGCCAAACCCCTGCCCTGTTCTCTTCCAGAATCACCACGTGGCAGTGGCAGAGTCTGCTGTCATCGGCTACCCACATGAGATCAAGGGAGAAGGTAACATGCTTGCTTTCCTGCCCCTGAAACATCTCTCCCTAGGCTATTGCACTGCAGTGAGAAGTGGCACTGTCACACCAACCCTGGTAGCAATGCTGTGCCAATGCTGTACAGCATGTTAGTGGGGATCTTGGGATGAGACCAGCTGGGCTTCGCATAAGGTGGCAGCAGCACCACCACGGCCAAAAGCACTTAAAGCTCAGGCTACAGCACATCCCCTGAGGCTACCAGCAGAGAGGGCCCTCTCCGGGTGCTAGGTCCAGGCAGGCTCTCAGGAACATGCTGCGCACGGTGCTCAGTAACCTGGTGGTCCTTCTGCCAGGAGCCTATGCATTTGTTGTGCTGAAGAAGGACAGTGGCTACACGCAGGAGACTCTCGCTGCTGAGCTACGGGAGCTGATATCAAAGAAGATCGCTAAATATGCAGCTCCAGAGTACGTTCAGGTAACACGTGCAGGCTGGTCCAACACCCACCCCAGCAGCCTGGCCAACCACTTTCCCCTCAGCCTTAGCTCTGCCTCTCCCCATCACAGGTCACACACCGGCTGCCCAAGACACGCTCGGGGAAGATTATGCGTCGGGTACTAAGGAAAATCGTGGAGGACAAGGCCAGTGAGCTGGGGGACCTAACCACCCTGGACGACCATGAAGCCGTGCAGCAGATCATAGAGGGACGCAAGCGCCTGGTGGAGGGGCAGAAGAGCTGCTAGCTTGGCTCTGCCAGCAGACACCTCCTGCTCTTCCACTGCAGAACCAGGGCCACATGCAGAAATGTCACTAAGCAACTGGTGACCCGTAAGTGCTCAGAGACCAAACCTCCACTGCAGTCTGAGTGACTTCTCTGCAACACAGAGACCCTCAAAACTTCTGTCTCCACACACCTATGGGAGTCAGGGGAAAGAAAACGACTCATCATAGGCAGAACAGTAAGGGGAGGCGAGCTCCATTTCCTCCCCTAAAAGCAGAGGGACAAAAGCCCTCCTTGGGGTTCCTTGTGCCTTGCAGTAGCTGTAGAGGTAGCAGCAGGGCAGGATGCCCAGCCCTGGATAGGTATATTACTACTACCCCTGCTTCAGCAATAGTCTAGTCCAGGACCATTGCCAATATACAAGCATCTCCTCCAAAGCAAACCCCAGAAGGAAAAGATGCAGCAGTCTGGTTAACAAATACTGACTCTTCTCCATAAACATCATTGGAAAACAGGCCCCAGACTTTAATACAAAAATGTTCCTTTGACCTGTAATCCTGTGTCATAAGGAGAGCAGAGACATGCCCCTTCTCTGTGCCAGCATTCTCCCCCCCCTTAACAGTGCATCTCTTGGCTCCTGCTGGAGAGCACAACCCCCAACAGAGACACAGGAACAGAAGTCTGTTCTGCAGAGCTGTGTATCGAAGAGGCAGAGGTCCCAGAGAGGGCAGAACAGGAGGCTGTATCCTAGCCTCACACCACTGCATCCTGGACAAGTGGAGGTTCCTCTGGCCATGGCTTCTATAAGCCCCATGAGGCAGCATCTTCTCTTTGGGCAGCCTAGCAGATCAGCCCTTTTCCCCATGAGAGGCAGGGAGGCAGGAGAAGGGGGGTGGGACAAGGATGGCATAAATGTGGCTGCTCCTGGCAGAACCCCACACCATAAGTTCAGACTTGGCTCTGTGTCCATCACCAAAATCCTGAACTGGTCTTGCACTGGATGAATCCCTTGTTGACAGCTGCTGGCTTGGCAGCTGTGTCTGCTATTCGGAGCTTTCCCACACGTGTGCAGGTTCTGCAGCTGGCCAGACAAGGGCATGTTTTTCAGCATCCTTCCCCAGCTGGGAGCCGCTTCATCTTCTCGCATCGAGTGAGCTCCCATCTTCCCTCGCCATGAAGTTTCAAAATCCAGCTGTGGAACTGCAATTCAATAACACAATGACTGAGGGATGTCTCTATGAGGGCATGTCCTCTCACAGTGAGGCTCTCCAGCCTCAGTCACTCCCCTCTGCTCGCCAAGGATCCTCTCTACCTCCCCTGTCTTGCCACCACCAGGGAGGTGTGGAATGCTGTCTCCCCATCTCACCTTTTCCAGGCTGGCCCTGTGTCCCACGCTGATCAGCGTCATGCCCAGCTGAAGGCACACACGGTACAGTTCCTGCTCCACTTCTTCTGTCAGGGCACTGGTGGCTTCATCTAGCACTGAGAGAAAAGTAATAAATTCCACAAATCCTCTCCCAACCAATCATCTCCCCTAGGCAAAAGAACAGCAACTGCCGAGAACATTTCATATTAACCGGAGTTTACTAAGACCATCTGCAGAAGACAAGTGAGGTTCAGCCTAAGGACTCTGATTTTCCTCTGGCACAGCTGGTGTCAGTCACCTGGGAAAGCTGCCCTTCCCCACAAGCCCTCAAATCCACTCAAACAGTGCCATTCACCTCATTCCTCCCTCAACAGCTGCCAGCCACTGCCTCATCCCTGCCATTGTGAAAGCCAAGACACAACCTTCTCAAGGTAGACCATCGGGCTGAGCAGCAGCCTGTGCACCCCTCTGGCCCAGACCCCACCCAGAGCATCCATGATAGCCAGAGGCACCTTCCTGTCAATTAAGGGTAAATACTACAGATCTGGAGCAGATAAATTCAATTTGTTTTACATCACCTCTACAGCTTTTAGTTTGCAATCCACAGGTTCCTTCTGCCCAAACAGCACTGAGCCATGCTGCAGGCTTCAGGGGAAGAGAGGTACTTACGTGTGGCTACTTGCTACTGACATCGGCTCTGTTCATCCACACCCACCCTGGCCCTCATGACAAGTCCTCCAACAGCCCCCCCCAGTCACGAGCAATCTAGGTGTGCAAAGGAATTAGCCCCATCTGCTCATGGGAGATGCTTCTGTGATCTCTCAGGACCGTTTCTCCCGCTGCTCCTTGTCGTCTTTTGCTGCGTTACAGCTGAATTTCCCACATTGCTTCCACAACCCTACAGACATTCACGAGCTTCAGATATGGCAGCTGATACCACGCTCCCTAGCATGCACACTTCTTTATGTTGCAGCTAGTAAGCATGCTGAGAGGGGGCTTCTTCAGGTGCCATCGGACCTGGACCAAGAACATTAATCACTAGTTCCCTAAAAAGAGAATGTCTTATATACAGCCTCTTGATTTTCCACCCTCCACACAGACAATGAAATGTTTTCACTCCTGAATCCTCTGTGTGCTACACTGCTAAAATAATGGCCAAGAAAAAACATGTTCCTAGCAAAGAAGGGATTTCACAAGCTGTCTCTGTACCAGCTTCTCTTCACACCAAAGGCCCTGCCTATTTTTTTCCCTCCTCTTTTCTTTTGCAGTCACTAACTCACCTGCATATTTTGGCTGGAGGTAGAAGAGCCGTGCAAACGAGAGCCTCTGCATCTCCCCTGGGGACAGGATGTCATACCTGCAGCGGGGTCAAGAGTCAAAATCTCCTTCAACAAAAAGAGCTCGTTTGCTGATATCAGAGACCCCAGCAAGCAACTGTCCCTGTGTGTCCCCCGTGCCCCCCCTCCACACTGGGACTGGCTCAGTACCCTTGTGCACAGCCAGCTGCCTGCAGAGCAGCATGGCTCGTCATTGTTGGCATTAATGCTTGGGGCATGAAGGCTTTGCCCCTGTATACTGCCCACCTCCCACAGGACACAGATGTTCCAAGTCCAGCAGCAACATGCTTCTGCTTAGAAGTGTTCCCCACCCAGAGGGATCACCCAAATTCATGCAGACAGCAAGCTCCCTTACCAGTTCCAGTCCACCTGCTCGTCCAGTCCTCCAGCCCTCGCCAGCAAATCAGTCTGCAGAGAGCACAGCAGACTTGTGAACGCAGCCCCCAACCCTGTCAGCCCACGGCCCTGAGCATAACCACCCCCTTCCTGCTACTCTCTCTTTTCCCACTTGAGCTGAAGTTGCTCTGTATCCCTCCTCCTCTGCCTGTCCCATGGACAGTCCTGTCCCAGCTGCAGACGGTGTCCCCACATATGTCCAGCACATGGTCACACTGTGCTGCCACAAAACCTCAACCCTTCTTCCCTCACTGGCAGCACCAGGAAAGAAGGCAGCAGCACTACCGGGAACTCACCAGCCCAGCCACCTCCAGGAATCGCACAATTCTCTCATCATCTGCAGACCCTAGGGGAGAAAGCAGTAAAGCATAAGCAGAGGCAATGTGTACTGAGGCCACAGCTGCAAGTAGGAGTCAGTGGAAGGAGGGAAGGATTGGAAGATCTCCTGAGGTCCAATGTAGCTGACTCGACCACTTAACAATATCAGGTCCTGAGCTCTGACACAGAGAGCTCCCAAAGACTGACCTTCCTTAAAAGTGTTAACCACACCTGTGAGCAGCATGCCAGGAGGTAGCTGGGCTCCACAGATACACCTGAGACTTGGCTCAGTCCATGGTGACAGATGGACACAGCTAGAACACAAGGATCCAGGCTTCAATTGCCAAAGCCTTGCCCACCAGCTGCTCTCTTATGGCTGCCTGCCCACTCTATGCTGCAGGTGGTGGAGTCATGGGAGCAGGGCTCAGGTAACAGCCAGTAAAAGATAATGTGGGATGGGAAAAACCTCAGGGTGAACCAGCTGTGGAGCAGAACAGGCACTTGAGCTGGTACAGTCAGCAGCTATGGAAGCTGAGCAGAAGGGCTGTACATCTGCCATGGACCTCTCTGAAGCTGCTGAACAGCCACAACAGTAGCTGACGGCTGCAGTTACTCTCTGGAAGACTGTGACTCCCAGGTGTTTGAAAGCAGCATGTACACTGCTTCACTCAGACAGAAACTTAAACCTGGACATCTGCAAGCTGCAGCAGACGGCGTGTGGTCTGGTTTGGGAAGAGGGCAGGGGAGAGAAAGGATCCATGTAGTCTGACCTCGACAGCATGTAAGGCCCTGGGACATAATTTGAAAAAGAGGAACAGTGAAAGACGGAGCTGGATGGAAAATGAGATGAAGGCAAACACGGCTTGCCCAAAGGCAGGTTGTACCAGACAGACGTATCCCAACAGCAAGGTGCCTCAACATATATCCCATGTCTAGCACAACATGCAGAGCATGGCCAGGTTGTCCTCACTGCATCAAGAGAACATGTTCTAATCAAGAGAATATGTTCCCTCCCAACAGGGAGGGAAGACAGAGCTGACCTTAACGTACGCTAAGGTAAATCTTCCAGGGAAAAACAGAGAGCAACAAAAGCAAAATGGATGTGCACTCCTGATGGGGCATGGTAGGGGAGAAGCTGCACTGGGTACAGTACAGGGAGCAGACACTACAGGGTTGGCTAATTGCTCTAATGCATTCCCACATACCTGAAACTGGATAGATGTCCTTCAGGGGATAGATCACCTGTTTAACAGAGCAAAAGAAGCCACGTCAGAGGGAGCTGGACACAGTCCATCAGAGATGCAATGGCGGCGGCATGAACTCAGGCACGAGGGAAGGAGCAGCCACAGGCATCCTCCCTCTTGCAGGCCTTTCTGCAGCACACAGGTTCTCAGGGCATGACCACAGCTGGGAGCAGAGCTGGGGACAGAGCAGAGGCAGCCCCTGGGCTCACCTGCTCGCGCAGGCTTCCGTCAGTGAAGAAGGGCCGCTGAGGCAGGAACACCACTCCCCGAGGGCCGAAGCAGGTCAGCATCTTGATGCTCCCTGCAGAGAGACACACTCATGCCAAGCCTGCAGCGCCAGCCAGCAACTCCCCACCGCCCCCTGTGCAGTCCTGCCCCATGAAGTAGCCAACAAATCCCAGAAAAGGTATATTTGCAACATGGGGCAAAGCAATGAGAGCCAGTGTAGAGTATGCAATAGAAGTGGGTGGCTCCAATGCACCAGAGACACATCCACCATCACAAGGTGGCACTGGCCTCACAACCCCACACTGCCACCTTCCAAACTCAGGGCAGCCCTGGTTGAGAAAGAGAAGGCTGCAGTGAGCAGCAGTCCTTACCCTGCGTGCTCTCCCAGAGTCCGCCAAGGACCCTCAGGAGAGATGTCTTCCCTGTGCCAGTGTTCCCCACAATCATCACGCTGTTTCCTTGTGAGATCCTGAGGCTCAAGTCCTTGATGAGCAGCTTGCCAGAGGATGGCACCGAGAGTGTCACTCGCTCCATAAGGAAAGCCGTGTCCCTTGGCACTGAGTCCTCCCCAGTATGGCTGCTGGGCCACCACCAAGACAAAGGAGGAGAGATCGGGGGTAAGCGATCATGCTGAGACTGGCAAAGATCAGGCACCTTAGACCTCCTGTGTCTCTGTGACAGGAGCCCTGCCCCACACACTCCAGGAATGACAAATCACAGTGAGCACTGCCTGCTCCAAACAAATGCATACAACAGGCTGAGACACCAAGGGCCACCTCCATCCTGTGACAGCCCCACACTCTAGCATGTAAGCTACAAGCCAGCCAGTCGCTGAGAGAAGACTCACCCGTCCAAATCCCAGCTGGCTTTGGCTTCTGAGTAGTTACCATTTTTTTTTCTGCCAAGGCTCAGCAAGGTCTCCTGCAGTTCACCAATCCTAGACAAACAAGAGGTTGCATGAATGCCAGGGACAACTCCAGCAGCCTCCTCACAATATCCAAACTTGTCCATGCTTGCTCACAGGCAACTGTTTCTTATTTATTTAGCACAGACCTGGGCAGGGTCTTGTCCCACACTTCCCTTTCCTGCGAGGCCTGCCCACAGAGAAGCTCACCTATGCGTGTAGCCAGCTATATCGGTCATGGTGCTGGAGAGATCTATGAGCTGGCTGAAGCAGCTGATGAGGTAGATAGAAACAAAGGCATTCTGGGGAGAAATCACACACCAGAGCAAGGGTCAGCACTGAGCTGGGGCACTGCCCCTGCCTCCATGGCTGCAAGGAGGCAGCCAAGGAATCCAGACAGTTGGCCATATCAGCATTCCCAGCAATACGAAGGAGGGGTGGAAAAGTCACTCAGGGCAGTGGGAGTGAAGGAGATGATAACCATATTTGGATGGAGCAGGGCTCCCCTGCTCAGTACAGCAGTTTTTGCCAGGTGAACCCATCTCCTGCCACCCCGGCATGGTGTTTACAGAACGCCTGCTGGCCAGCCCAGGGCCCAGCATGCTCACCCCGTCTAAGCCGTGCAGATCCATGCCGCCAGCCCTGCCCCAGCACCATACATGGCTCAAAGCAGGGTATCTCAGCCTGCAGTGCCCACTTAGCTATTTTTAGCTCTGCGTTCTCTATCACAAGCCAGTTTTGAGTATCTGGGAATGAGTCAGGTCAGGAAGGCGAATGCAAGCCAGCTCAGCCTCACAGGTGGCCAGGCTCATGGCGGGCAGCAGCCCAGGGCATGACCTGGACCTGCAGCACTGTGCAGACCCAATCACCACCCATACCACTGAAAGCCAGAGGCTTTCTGACCTCCCAATTTTTTTAGACACAGAGGTCGGAGCTAGGAAACACTTACGTAGATGTGTCCTTGACAGCTCTCACCCCCAGGTTAATCATACACCAGCTGGCTCCAAGCTCCCATTTCCATGCCACCATGGGCAGGGACAGTCTAACCTGAAGGTCAATTGCTGCAGGTCATCCAGCCCCAGTGACACCAACCCCACACGAAACCTCCATCCTCAGTGCCCGCTCACCCTCCACAACAGGGTCTGGGAGATCACCCTTAGCTCACCTTGCTGACGAGGGCACTGAGCTCTGTTGGACTCAGGTCACTGTAGACCCCAGAAAAAATGGGAATAGCAATGACCACGTAGCTCAGGATGCTGCCCAGGTAGTCAAAAGTGTTGATCCCAACTGGGCAGAAGCACATTGAGAGAAGACAGTGAGTTAGGGTGGGAACCTCTGTCCCAGTCAGGCTCAAGTGCAGCCTATGAGCTCAGTTAGAGGAAGACCCACGGTCTTGCCTCAGCCCTTCACGATGCACCAGAGCAGAAGAACCCGTTTCACAGGACAGCACAAGCACCAGGGTGAAAATCCTTTTGCCAAGCAAAGAGCACTTTGGGGCAGGGCCCTGAGCAGAGAAACATCATCCAGACAGACAGCTCAGGAACCACCACGGGGCAAAAGCCACTTTGCCTGCTTGTTTCCACTCTTCAGGGGCCTGGATGACTCAAGAAACAGGAGGGAGGGCCAAAAGGAAGCTCTGCGGCCAGATGGTTGGCCGTGAAGTCTGTCTTGGAGCACAGGACAGACAGAAAGACTTAAGACCCCAAACTCCCACACAGACACCTGCATTCAGGGCTCTCCCTCCCTTACGTTGCTCAGAAGCTCACTATGCTGGTGGGATGAGGAAGAGCTGTCTTGATAGTGGTCATTTAACATCCAAACCTGGACCCAGTGACAATGGGAGAAGGGTGATTTTCAGAGGACAACTATGCTCACGGGACAGGCTCTACAGGAAAGAAGTTTCCACTGCTCCCAACCACATATACAGAGTCTTCTTCCCCAAAGCTCAAGCCCTTCCCCCTCTTCCTGGCCATTGAACACCTGCCCCACAAAAAGCACAGACCCCTGCAGATTCCCCTTTTGGGGCTTGCGTTCTCTGACTTAGCTAGGCCCTCCACAACTTTCCTCTCCACGAGGCTTTTTCACAACAGGATTCCCATTTAGGACTGCAGGAGGCACCCTCTGTTCACCCTCAGGGCTTTCATGCACCAGCAAGAGGTGGGAGAGGAAAACCCTGCACTGCTGCTCTAGCAGTACGGTTCCCAAGCCTGTGGGCCACTGCAATGGAACTACCACACGCCCCACTTCCCCCCCAAACTCCCCACTTACTGTATAGCCACAGCTCCTTGCCTATCAGCTCCCTCTGGGTCTGCAGCAGGCTCTGCAGCCTCCGGTTTGTGCGCATGTGCTCCACTCGCCCAGCCCTGTAAAATACGATTGCAATGTGTCACAGACATCCCGGGAGCACTGCAATGAGGTAAAAGCACAGGCTTTAGGACTGAGGCTTGGAAAGGGTCTGGCACCTTAGCCTCCAAGCAACAAGCTCTTTGTTGAGCAGGAACTGAACAGCCAAGAGCGTCTTCCTGAAGAGCTTCACCAAGAAACTCTGGCTGAAACAAGCAGCCCTGCAAATCTCTCCCAGAGCCTGTGCATGCTGCTGTTGCATACAGAAGGAGGTGAGGCAAGGCCAGACACCATCAGCGAGGCCCCAGTCTGGAGCAATGCACACCCAAGGCCACACACACTTTCCAAGCAGAGCCTGGTTGGAAGAGAGGGACAGCACCACTACACAGCTGGAGCCAGAAAGAAGAGGGCAGAGGTGAGCCCAGGAGGTGACAGCAAGCCAACACCGCCTGCACGGCCGGTAGCCCCACTCCACCTCTTCCCATTCCCCACCGTGGAGGAGTGGGACACGGACAAGCCCCGAGCAGTGCAGCCGCCAGTGCGGGTGACCCCAGCCCCACAGCCCCCACTTTCCCAGGGGTATCTCTGCTGGCATCAGGGGGCCGCCCACCACCCGAGCTGGCAGCAATGCTCCCACGGCCAGGCTGAGCCAGGAGCAAGGAGGCACATCTCGGCTCTAAACCACCACCTTCAGCAAGTGTGGCAGCTCCTTCTGCTCCTTCGCAAGGGCTGGGCTGCCCTCAGGTGGCAAAATGCAGAGAGAGCTCCACTGGTTCTTAGAAAAATACATCTTCTTTCTTAAAAATACATCCAGTTAGAATTCAATTTGGCATTACTGCCCTACAACCCATCGCAGGTAACTACTGAGCTGCAATCTTTGCTGCTGAGTATTCAGAAAGGATAAAGCCTTGGACACAAGGAATTAAAGGCGAGGAAGGCACCGGGGACCAGAGCTATTATTTCTTTTGCAGATGAGGAGACATTGCTGTATTGGTTTCAGCTTTTCCTCCCATTCGGTTAGCTTTTAAAACAAGTTTGCCAAAGGCTTAGAAACCAAAGAAGTAAAAAGGTGACAGTGCTCAGGTTTTGTTTCTTCCTTTGCCAAAACAATGGCTAGGCAGCTGCAAGAGGACAAGACCTAACAGCTTCTACAAGCTAGAGAAGTCCGGCAATCAAAACCACCCACTCGCCACATGCTCCTCCTCTTGCAGGATTCTAGGAATGCAACCTTTTACAAAATTCCTTTATTTTTAATTAAGATTCATACAATGAAAATGGCTGGTTTTGTACAATTCAATAAATTCTAGTTTCTCACCAAGTGAAGCTTTTCTACTAATGAACTGTACTGAACTAAGACATTCTGTTTTCTGGTATAATAATTCACTTTCCATTTTCTACTTAGTAATAGAATAAAAAAGTTCAAAATTGTGAGGAAAAGTACTGCAGCTTAAATAAGGGCCTGTAATTAGAGTATCTTCTCCATTAAGAAAAATTATCATCAACCAATAAGAATCAACCAGTCCACAAAGAAATAACTCAAACTTGCCAATGCAAACCAAGATTGATTTCAGTTATTTAAATCAAAGTTTCATGCCTGTCAATATAAATCTTCATGAAATCGGTGATTTTGAATCAAACCACTTTGGGGACAGCACCACACCACTTGAAATGCTCAGTCATTACAGCATGAAGGAGCCAGATGCAGATCACAGGCAGGGAAGAACAGAGGCAAGCTGCTGCTTGCTTAAATTCCCGGAAGAAGTGCAATTTCACAATGCGCAGGGCAAAGGCAAACACTTGACGAGAGGAGCAACAACCTCCTGCCACCAACCAGGCACCTCAACACAAGCTACAGTAAAATCGTAGCCCTTTTCCCGAGTTCTAGCCATTTCTGTGAAACACCTTAAAGGCTGCTTGCTGCTCAAGAGACTTCAGGGCATCACTAAGCAGGGAGGAGCTGCCAGGCTCTTGACTGTGTGCTCAGCTCTGGGGTAAATGGCACTGATCAAATTTGGAGTAACAGTACCGTGTTGGGAGGGTCAGATCACAGACTGACCCAGAGGAGCAAGCAGAGGTAAGGAGGCCAGGCAACAGCTAGCATACCCAGAGAAGACACACAGGTTAGCAGCAGCAGGATGGGGCCAGAAGCAACCTGCAACAAGTCCCCACAGGAACATCCTGACAAGATGCAATGAGACCTTGAGCAATCTTCCAGGTAAGGACCTGGCAAACATCAGCAATGGTATCTAAGCCAGCACCGAACCTGTATCAGGCCTCTGGGGATGTTAGAAGGGAGGCAGAGAAAAAAATAGTTGTCTCCAGCTGCTGCGGAGTATTTCTGCAGACGATGTACAGAATGCAAAGGAGAACAGAGCGTCAGGGCTGTATGATGCTACAGCGGGATGGAGGGGACAGAAAGCTCCAGCTTGGGATACTTGGACTCCTCTGGGATACATGAATACAACAAGGATGCCCTGAGCTGGGATGATCCTTACGAGGACGTAAAGAAATGAACCCTACTAACCTGTAGAAAGCAGCTGGTTCTGCATTGACACGAATCTGCATGTGCTTGAACCTGGACAACCCAAGAAAAACATCATCAGGATTGTGCAGTGAATGCCCAGTGAATTACGTAGCTAGCATCCTTGCTAGAGGAAACTCGTCAGAGCACTGACCTGAGGCATCTTATGACAGAAATATTCAATAGGGTCAAAAAGGCACCAGAGACCAAGGCTTAGCACAAGGTGACATCATTCTGGGCCAGCTCAGCGGCACATTTGTTTGGTATCCCGCTCTCTGTGCCCATCTTCTCAGCCCCTAGGCCTCCTGTTTGCCAGCCCAGCATCTCCACCATACAGAATCACCACAACCAGCTGCCCTGGTCTGGGCTCCCTGTGCCACACCAGCTTCTGCTGCTGTCCCTGGATGCCCTGAGCCCCAGGGAAAGCTGCATAGCCCCTGCCACACACCCAGACAGCCCTGCAGGGGAAGGGGACGAGATGAGTAACACAGCATATAGAAAGACTGTGCTGTTTTGGGCACTACATGAAGTTGGTGGTGAAGCAGAAACATGATTTGTCAGCAGATGCAGTTCATTGAACTTGGATCTGCACCCAAGGAAGCTCCATGTGCAGTTTTCTTCCACACATCTAATGCCCTAGCAGAGGCACCAGCAACAGCAGAGAAAGGGGTGGCGGGGGCTCCATACATGGACTTTGGGGCAGCATTGCACAGGTAGTTTTTCTCTGAGTGTGGGGAAAGTCACAGACAAGAGAAGTAGCTGCGTACATAGCACTGAACGGGGACAAAAATGCAGCTTTCGCAGGAGCTGCCAAGAGGCAGCAAAAATGCTGTTCTGCTGGGACTCACCTGAAATCTCCCTCCAGTTTTTCCTGCTGCACAAGTTTAGACACAATTGGGCTCATCAATACCTTGTTGACAATCGTCCCAATGATGAAATACCCAAAGATGCCGACAGGGCCTAGCCAGCCTGTGCTACAGAGGAGGAGAAAGAGAGGTCAGCTAATAATCCAAGCAAAAGGACACCCTAGCACCCTCGGGCTCAAGCAGTCAGAGCCCTCAACAGTCACTTCTCTTGGCTTTCACAGAGGTTTGGGGGCCAGCACTGCACACCCCAGCATCCCCAAGGCAGAATTCCCTTTGGAATGCAGAGACCACCCACCCACACGTACGAGCATCCGTCTGGGGAATTGTAATGTGGTGCCAGGCTCTAAGAAAGAGCACAGGAAAGAGGTGTGAAAGCAGGGCCAGGATGGGTCCTTACCTGTGGAAGCACTGGTACGTGTAGTAGGCCAGTGTGAAGGGCGAGATGATGAGCTTGCTGGCCATGGAGCTGAGCTGCCTGCAGAACCTCTCCACATCCTGGCTGATGCGCTGGTCCCTGTTCAACACAAAGAAAGAACCATTGACACTGTTAGAGCTCAGGAGCAAGAACCAGTACTAACTCCCTAACAGGGCACAAGCCAGGCTGTTTCATTGCCTGACCTTAGGACAGGGCGCAAGTGAACAACCCTGCGTGGGAGGGACCTGCAGCTGTGACTCCCGCTCCCCCACAGGAGACAGTTTCCATGGCCAGCAGGACCCACCCAAGGGCCTTCCTGGCACCCCAGAAGAACAGCTCCTGCTCTTACTTTCACCCTGTTGCTTGTATTAACCCCTTGTTCCACTTTCAACAACGTTGTCCAATTCTGTGCTAAAGGTCCCTGCATCCTTGTCCTTTATTCCTCTCCTGGACCATCCCCTGTACTACCAAAAACTACTGACTCTCCCCTAAACCTTCAGTACTGGTGCTGCATCTCAGGCACCAGAGCTTCCAGCTGTTGGATATTCACAAATGCTTCCATCAAAGCCACCCTTCCACAGGAGCCGGTCCCTTTGCTCTGCATGGAATGCCCTCTGGTCCCTTTGCTGCAAGGAAGAAAGGGCTTCCACCAACCCCCAGCCCAAAAGAGCAGGCAGCAGCGCACCAAGTCTCCTCGCTCCATCGGCAGCGGGCACATGGGTGACAGACCCTCAAGTCCCATCCGTCCCACTGCTGAGCAGGAGCTGCACTTGGCGTAACTAGAAAGGATTTCAGCCTATTTACTCCCTCGGCACCTCATCTGTCCAGAGCACATGGACGAGAGCTTCAGTCTGATGCGCTAAGCACAGGTGGAAAGGCCATGACTGCAAATGCTGGAGTCCAGAATGAAGAGCAAGGCTGGACTCCGGCTTAGCCATCAGTGCAGGCACAACCACAAGGACATTCATCTCTCGACTCTTTTGCAGTCCTGGAACAGCAATGGATTTAATTTTGAGGCAGCTCTCACCCTGACTGACCTTACAGTTATCATTTTTCCTTTTCCTCAGACTGTAATTGTTCCCATAAAGTTATAATTTAAGTTGTGCTATAGACTCATGGCAGGATATTGCTTTTTACGAGCTATTAAGCAACATGTAATGATAACACATAAACATCAACTCAAATGCCCTGCTAGGAGCCGCAAGTGTTTGTATGCCACTCAGAACTCACTCTTCATTTCTTCTAGATGGATGACACCATGCATCTAACACTCAGTTTGGTTTGCACTGCATAACAGGAGGTCACGTCGTCGCTCTAGTTCATTCGCTAAGTACCCGGTGCAGGGAAAAAATTTTCATCAAGGAATTGCAAGATAAAGAGAATTTTTGTAGCAGCACCAAAAAAGACACTAAACAATAAGGTTGGATGTTTGAGCAGAAGCAATGTGGTAATGAAAAATACTCCGCAGCAATCCCACACGTTTGGTCTCCTAAGGTCAGGAGAGCTGGCTGTATTGCTGCGGAGCAGATCGACCCAGTTATCTCTTGCATTTCACTGCACAATGTGAACACGTTCCCTGGTTAAAAATAAACCTGAGCAGGATAGTCATGTGATGAGGGGCCTCTGTCCTCTGCTTCCCCCCCCCCCCCCCTCAAAG